TAGTTTTTCTCATACGTAAAATAGAAATGCTAATACAGTACTCCCTTCATAAGGCTTTTATGAAGATTAAAGGAGATAATATGTGTAAAATGTAGCACATATAGGTTCTAAATATATGTTAGTACCTTTCTTATTTCCCTTTCCTTTCCTTTTAAAATTTCCCACTGCAGGCTTTCCACATAACAAATCCTATTGCTAAACTTGTGAAGATGCTTTATATTCAAAGTACCACTTTGTGCCTATTTATACCCTCTTACAGTGTGAATAACACTTATTCCTTTGCAATTCTTGACAATTCAAATCATCAAATGCTCACTTCTTTCTTTCCAAATTAGAAAATGCAAAAAAGATGATGTCCCAGGTCTTCAAAATGCCCTATAATTATGACAAAAATAACTGTGATGTGAAAATAAAACAAAACAGGAGAATGCATATGACTGACCAATACTCAGCTGTTCACAAAGACCGTAACAACTTATAAAAATTGTCAAATGTAGGCCGGGTGCTGTGGCTGTCTGTAATCCCAGCACTTTGGGAGGCTGAGGCAGGTGATCACCTGAGGTCAGAGTTCACAACCAGCCTGGCAAACATGGTGAAAGCCCGTCTCTACTAAAAATACAAAAAAATTAGTCGGGCATGGTGGTGAGTGCCTGTAATGCCAGCTACTTGGGAGGCTGAGGCAGGAGAAACACTTGAATCTGGGAGGCAGAGGTTGCAGTGAGACGAGATCATGCTATTGCACTCCAGCTTGGGTGACAGAGTGAGACTCCGTCTCAAAAAAAAAAAAAATTTGTCAAATACAAAAGTGTACTTTATCCCTCCACTTATTAGCACATAGCAAAAATCAGTATCATAAGATCTAAAGAAGTTCAAACAAACCCAGACCCTGCGTCCGTCTAAGCACCTGTTTAAACTTCACTGGTATTAATGGAAAACAGTAATAATTATCAGAGTCACTTTAAATGTCCATTACAGAAAGGGTTAAACAAGTCTCTAATTCAGACTTTCAATATCATATCCATGTGAGGCTATATAAACAAAAAGCTGTAACACCAGAACTGGAAGAAAACAAAACTCATCATAGATCTTTAAAACTGTTTGCAATTCATGTAATCAGAAATCACTTCTTTCAATGTACTATGAATTAATTTTTATGTATTCTTTATCTTGTAAATACACACAAATATTGCATTAAACATTTCGTTAAAAAAGTATAAATTTAAAATAGAAAGCAATTAAAATATATCCCTATATTTTATAATCATGTTCTGACCATTTTTAAAACTTTTTATTATACATATTTTCTTTTTTTTTTTTTTTTTGTTCGGGTGTTTTTCCTGCGTTACCCAGGCTGGAGTGCAATGGCGCGATCTCGGCTCACTGCAACCTCCGCCTCCTGGGTTCAGGCAATTCTCCTGCCTCAGCCTCCTGAGTAGCTGGGATTACAGGCACGCGCCACCATGCCCAGCTAATTTTTTGTAGTTTTAGTAGAGACGGGGTTTCACCATGTTGACCAGGATGGTCTCGATCTCTTGACCTCGTGATCCACCCACCTCGGCCTCCCAAAGTGCTGGGATTACAGGCTTGAGCCACCGCGCCCGGCCCATATTTTCAACCATACCAAAGTACACATAACAGTATAACCCCAAGTGTCCATTACATAGCTTCAACACTTAAAAACAATTCCCACCCACTTCTCCCCACCTGATCATTCTAAAGTAAACCTCAGATATCATTTCATCTTTAAATATTTCAGTATATACGTTTGAAACATAAGAAATATTTTTTAAACATAACAATGCCACTTCCATACCTTAACCAAATAGCAATTTCTTGATTTTTTTTTTTTTTTTTTTTTTACGAAGTCTTGCTCTATCACCTAGGCTGGAATGCAGTGGCATGATCTCATCTCACTGCAACCTCTGCCTCCCAGGTTCAAGTGATTCTCTTGCCTCACCCTCCCAAGTAGCTGGGACTATAGGCACCTGCCACCATGCCAGGGTAATTTTTTTTTGTTTGTTTTTTTTTTTTTTTTTAGTAGAGACGGGGTTTCACTGTGTTAGCCAGGATGGTCCTGACCTCGTGATCTGCCCACCTCGGCCTCCCAAAGTGCTGGGATTATAGGCATGAGCCACTGCACTGGCCTTGGTTTTTGTTTGTTTGTTTGTTTGTGGCAGAATCTCAATGTGTCGCCCAGGCTGGAGTGCAGGGGCTGTGGTCTCGGATCACTGAAACCGCTGCCTCCCAGGTTCAAGTGATTCTCCTGTCTCAGCCTCCAGAGCAGCTGAGACTACAGGCGCAGGTCACCATGCCTGGCTTATATTTGTACTTTTAGTAAAGACGGGGTTTCACCATGTGGCCACGCTTCTCAAACTCCTGACCTCAAGTGATCCACCCACCTTGGCCTCCCAAAGTGCTGGGATTACAGGCATGAGCTACCACACCAGGCACAATTTCTTATAACATGAAATATCCAGTGTTCACATTTTCAATAGCGATTTTTTTGGGCAAAATTTTAATGACAACATTATTTCTTTTTCTTTTTTTTAAGAGTCATCACTTGAGGCCAGGAGTTCAAGACCAGTCTAAGCAACACAGCAAGATCCCATCTCTATTATTGTTGCAAAATAAAAATTATCCAAGCACAGCTTCAATATAAGAAAAAAATAAAAATTAAAATTTAAAAAAGAACCACTATAAGAGTTGAAAAAAAAAGAAAAAAAGGCCAGACATAGTGGCTCACACCTGTAATCCCAGCACTTTGGGAAGCCGAGGCAGTGGATCACCTAAGGTCAGATGTTTGAGACCCGCCTGGCCATCGTGGTGAAATCCCATCTCTACTAAAAATACAAAAATTTGCTGGGTGTAGTGGCACACGCCTGTAATCCTAGCTACTCAGGACGCTGAGGCAGGAGAATTACTTGAACCAGGAAAGTAGAGGTTGCAGTGAGCTGAGATTATGCCATTGCACTCCAGCCTGGGTGACAAGGGTGAAACTGCCTGAAAATAAAGAAGAGAAAGAAAAGAAAAGAAAAGAAAGAAAGAGAAAGAGCACAACAGCTCAAACTCAACAACTTAAAATCACTTTTTTTTAAGTCAGAGTCTCCTGTTACACAGGCTGGATGATCTTGGCTCAGTGCAACCTCCAAAGTGGCTGGGACTACAGGTACACATCACAAGACCAGGCTAATTTTTCTATTTTTAATAGAGATGGAGTTTTGCCATGTTGCCCAAGCTGGTCTTGAACTCCTGACCTCAGGTGATCCACCTGCCTCAGCCTCCCAAAGTGCTGGGATTACAGGCGTGACCCACTGCACCTGGCCTAAAATTACTTTTTAAAAATATATTTCCTGGCCGGGCGCGGTGACTCACGCCTGTAATCCCAGCACTTTGGGAGGCCGAGGTGGGCAGATCACGAGGTCAAGAGATCGAGACCATCCCGGCCAACACGGTAAAACCCCGTCTCTACTAAAAATACAAAAAAATTAGCTGGGCGTGGTGGCACGCGCCTGTGTCCCAGCTGCTCGGGAGGCTGAGGCGGAAGAACCTCTTGAACCCAGGAGGCAGAGGTTGCAGTGAGCCGAGATTGCGCCACTGCACTCCAACCTGGTGACAGAGCAAGACTCCGAAACGAAATTATGAAAAATAAAACAAGAAAGTATCATTACCCCCAAGAAACTGGGGTGGAAATTTTTTTTTTTTTTTGGTTTTATAAATTTTAAAAATATTAAAAAAAACATATATATATATATATATTTATATGTACTTCAGATGTACCTGTTTTTATGGTCAAAAATAACTTTTTAATTGTAAACAAAGCATAAGCTTGCATTCTATTCTATTCATATGCCATCATAAGTATTTTTCCATACTGCCTTGTAATAATTATTTTTATGGCTGAAGCAAATGTATGTATTGTATTTAACTTACCACTAACTTTTTTTTTGAGACAGGGTCTCATTTATCACTTAGGTTAAAGTACAGTGACATGATCATGACTCACTACAGCCTTAACCTCCTGGACTCAAGTGATCCTCCCAACTCAGCCTCCCAAGTAACTGGGACTACAGGCATCCACCACCATATCCAGCTATGTTTTAATTTTTAGCAAAGATAAAGTCTCACTATGTTGCCCAGGCTGGTTTCTTTAACTATATAGCTCCTAAAAATTGACTGTTTCACCCTTGTCACCCAGGCTGGAGTGCAATGGTGCAATCTCAACTCACCACAACTCGAACTCCTGAGCTCAAGCAATCCTTCCACCTCAGCCTCCCAAGTAGCTAGGACTACAGGCATGTACCACCAAATCCAGCTACTTTTTAATTTTTAGTGGAGATGAGGTCTCACTATGTTACCCGGGCTGTTCTCAAACTCCTGAGCTCAAACGATCCTCCCACCTCAGCCTCCCAAAGTGCTGGGATTACAGAAGTGAACCACCACACCTGGACCAATATCCAATTTTGGACACAAATTACTTTAAATGCATTTGCTATTCTAAGTAACACTAAAATACACATCTTTTTGTTTACTACACTTACTAAGAATTACTTACTCAGCTGGGCACTGTGGCTAACACCTATAATCTCAGTGCTTTGGGAGGCCGAGGTTGGCAGATCACGAAGTCAGGAACTAGAGACCAGCCAGGCCAACATGGTGAAACCCTGTCTCTACTAAAAATTAGCCACGTGTGGTGGCGCATGCCTGGAATCCCAGCTACTTGGGAGGCTGAGGCAGGAGAATCGCTTGAACCCGGGAGGTGGAAGCTGCAATGAGTTGAGACCACGCCACTGCACTCCAGCCTGGGTAACAGAGAGAGGCTCGGATTCAAAAAAAAAAAAAAAAAAAAAAAAGATTTACTCAGAAAAGAAATAATTAGATCAAAAAATGGAATGTATGTCCCCTTTTTTTTGGTAGAGATGAGGTCTCCCCATGTTGCCCACATTGCTCTTGAATTCCTGGACTCAAGTGCTCTGCCTGCCTCAGCCTTCCAGAGTGCTGGGATTACAGGTGGGAGCCACCACGAGCATCCACATATAGCTTTTTTTTAAAGTAATATAAAACATGTAAGCTTTATTACATGTTAAAGAAACTAAAGATAATGTGACCCAAAATTTATTTATCAGTTATAATAAAATATTTTTACACATATGCAAAATTGCAAATAACTGATGCTTTTTTCAATAAAGGTATCTGAATTTAAAGACAGGATAAAATGAAGATACATTTAATGACTTTCATCTCATTTTAAAGTCACCTTATTGAACAATACATCATGAAATCTTTAGTTGTACATTTAGGAAATTTACAATGGAGCTCTCTTCTACCAGTGTGTGTATTTTAACTTTTCTCATCCAGGTGTCTCTTCCAGTTTGATGATTGGCTAGAACAGCAATCTGTATCATGAATGTGTGAGTTGGTGTCCTTTGATTATCAGTTAAGAGAATGTGAATTCAGCCACTTGGTTCTACCAATTCAAGTTGCCGAGTTTCTTTTTTTTTTTTTTTTTTTTGAGACGGAGTTTCGCTCTCGTTACCCAGGCTGGAGTGCAATGGCGCGGTCTCGGCTCACCGCAACCTCCGTCTCCTGGGTTCAGGCAATTCTCCTGCCTCAGCCTCCTGAGTAGCTGAGATTACAGGCACGTGCCACCATGCCCAGCTGATTTTTTGTATTTTTAGTAGAGACAGGGTTTCACCATGTTGACCAGGATGGTCTCGATCTCTTGACCTCGTGATCCACCCGCCTCGGCCTCCCAAAGTGCTGGGATTACAGGCTTGAGCCACCGCGCCCGGCCGAATTTCTTGAAGGTTCTGAAAATTATTTCCTACACTGGCTGAGATCTTGCTTGGAGTATAGCTTTCATCAGATTTGTAGCTTGCATAAATACATAATGTCTTCACTGTTGTTTTTCTTCTGAATTGGACATTCACTAAATGAGGCTGGGAGCCATCTGATTGCCAGTAAGTTTCTAGATTGTCAACTTGTAACTGATCCACTATAAATCCTAGTTTGTAAGATGAGAGGAACCAAACAGCTAGTGACCCAGTTTCCCATACTGTTCCAGTCCTTTCCAACTGCTTAGGGTAAGCACCAGGAGATGTCTTGTTTGGTAGTCATTTTTTTTTAATATTCTGGCTGCTTGCTGAATCTCAGGTTCTCAGGATCTCCAGCAGCTCTGTGCCACTCCCATTCGGCTTCCTAGGACTGCCTGGCTTCTCCAGCTACCCACACATGGCTTTTTAAATGTATAAAATATGCCAGTGTCAATTTCACCAGCACTGAATGATATCAATATTTTCTATTTTTTGTTATGTAGGCATAGAATTTTAATTTCTACCTCTTAGTATCTAATAAAATATTTCTCCATTGTTTACTAACCCACATAAACATCTTTTTGCCCATTTATATATTGAAAATGTGATGGTTTTAACAACTCATGTAGATGCTGTAAATAATAGATATTTTGCCAGTTGACATTCTATAACCAACTGCTGATTTGTTCCACCAGATGAAGCATTTATGAAGACTCAATACACAACAACAACATAAACTGTGTTTTTCTTTTTTTTTTTTTTTTTTTTGAGACAGGGTCTCACTCTGCCACACAGGCTGTAGTGCAGTGGCGTGAGCATGGCTCATTGCAGCCTCAACCTCCCTGAGCTCAGGTGATCCTCCTGAATAGCTGGGACTACAGGTGCATGCCACCATGCCCCGACTGGTCTAGAATTCATAGGCTCAAGTGATCTGCCTGCTTTGGCTTCCCAAAGTACTGGGCTCACAGGCATGAGCCAAGGCACCCAGACTGTTTTTCAAATAATTCTCTCTTGTTTAAAAAAATTATAATCTGGTGGTTTGTGCTTGCCATCAGTGGCTGTGTCACTCTCTAGTAAAAATGTGTCATTGTTGGCCGCAACCTCTGGGCTGGGATGATCTATGCTCCTGGTGCAGCAGGGGAGCTGAGCCATGGCCAATACAGTGATAGCAGTCAGAGTGACCATTGCTGCTGCAGGATTTGCAACCCATGAGGCATGTGGAACCTCAAGTAAAACAAATTTTTCAAAGTCTACCAAAATCTACCTTTGGTGGCGGCTACTACAGAGGTAGGTTTGAACGCAAAATGACAAAATGGAAAGCAGCACTTATAGTACTGTAAGCACTACTGCCAATAAAGAGAAAATAAGAGATGTTTATTCACCAATTATGCTCTTAAATCATTCAGATAGATCTTCTATCACAACCAAAATCAGTGAAGCAAAAGATTTACTAGAAAGTCAAGCCAAAAAATGAAGTAAATGTATGAATTTTAAGGTCATATTACTTTGTTGAGTACCAACTTTTTATAATAAAATACCTCGGAGCTACCGAGATTAAATGGATTAATTTCTAGAAACAAAAAATCTACCAACACTGAATCAGGAATAAACAGAAAATCTGAATAAACCTATAACTAGCAGGGAGATTGAATCAGTAATCAAAAACTTCCACAAAGAAAAGCCCTAGATCAGATGACTTTGCTGGGAAATTCTACTAAACATTTAAAAAACACCAATCCTTCTCAAACTGTTCCAAAAAATTCAAGAGGAAGAGGCCGGCCACAGTGGCTCATGCCTGTAATCCCACACTTCAGGAGGCTGAAGTAGGCGGATTACCTGAGGTGAGGAGTTTGAGACCAGCCTGACCAACATGGTGAAACCCCGTCTCTACTTAAAATATAAAACTAGCCATGTGTGGTGACGAGTGCCTGTAATCCCAGCTACACGGGAAGCTGTGGCAGAAGAATCGCTTGAACCCAGGAGGCAGAAGATGCAGGGAGCCGAGATCACACCACTGCACTCCAGCCTAATGACAAAGCAAGACTCCTCTCAAAAAAAAATTAAAATTAAGAAAAAATTGAAGAGGAGGAAACACTTCCTAACTCATGCTATGAAGCCAGAACTATCTTGATACCAAAACCAGGCAAATATACCATAAGAAAAATACAAACCAATAGTCTATATAAATGTATATTGATACAAAAATACTCAAGAAAATAATAGCAAATTGAATTCAGCAATATATCAACAGAATTATACACCATGACCAAGTGATATTTATTCCTGGAATACAGGGATAATTCAACATATGAAAATCTATTAATGTAATACATTACCTGAACAAAATGAAGCAAAAAACCCAAATGATCATCTCAATTCATACAGAAAACGCATTTAACAAAATTCAACACTCTTTCGTGATTTAAAAAAAAACGAAAAAAAGGTGGGCGCAATGGCTCTAGCCTGTAATCCCAGCACTTTGGGAGGCTGAGGCAGGTAGATCACAAGGTCAGGAGTTCTAGATTAACCTAGTCAAGATGGTGAAACCCCATCTCCACTAAAAATACAAAAAAAAAAAAAATTAGCTAGGTGTGGTGGCGTGTGCCTGTAATCCCAGCTACTTGGGAGGCTGAGTCAGGAAAATCGCTTGAAACCGGGAGGTGGAGTTTGCAGTGAGCCAAGATTGTGCCACCACACTCTAACCTGGGCAACACAGCAGGACTTTGTCTTAAACAAACAAACAAACAAAAAACCTAAAAAAAAAAAAAACCTGGGCTGGGCATAGTGGCTCCCGCCTGTAATCCAAGCACTTTGGAGGCCAAGGCGGGCGGATCACCTGAGGTTGGGAGTTCAAGACCAGCCTGACCAACATGGTGAAACCCAGTCTTTAAAAAAACTAGTAACACATAAATTATCTCAGCATAATAAAGGCCATATATTAAAAATGCAGAGTCAACATCATATGCACTGGTAAAAGACTGAAAGCTAGCCTGGCCAACATGGTGAAAACCCATTTCTACCAGAAATACAAAAATTATCCAAGCATGGTGGTATGTGCCTGTCATCCCAGCTACTCAGGAGGCTGATGCAGGAGAATTGCTTATACTTGGGATGCAGAGGTTGCAGTGAGCCAAGATGGGGCCACTGTGCTTCAGCCTGGGAGACAGAGTAAGACTGTCTCAAAGAAAAAAAAAGAAAAAAGACTGAAAGCTGGCCAAGCATGGTGATCAGACCTGTAATCCTAGCACTTTGGGAGGCTAAGACAGGCAAATCACTTGAGCCTAGGAGTTCAGGACCAACCTGGGCAACACAGTTAGATCTCATCTCTACTAAAAATAAAAATAAAAAAATTAGCCAGGTGTCGTGGTGCACGCCTGTATTCCTAGCTACTTGGGAGGCTGAGGTGGGAGGATACGTTGAGACCAGGAGGTTGAGAATTTGGTGAGCTGAGATTGTGGCAGTGCACTAAGCCTGGGTGACAGAGTGAGACTGTCTCAAAAAAGAGAGAGGAAAAAAAACAAAGACTGAAAGAACTTTTGCTTTAAAATGGAAACAAGACAAAGATATGTACTTTTGCCATGTCTATTCAACATAGTATTGGAAATTTAGCCAGAGTAATTAAAAATAAATAAAAGGCATCCAAATTGGAAAGGAAAAGGTAAAATTATCTCTGTACACCAGCAACATACGCTACATTTAGAAAACCTTAAAGATTCCCTACAAACTAACACACAAAAAGTGTTAGAATTAATAAATTCAGCAAAGTTCAGGATACAAAATTAAAAAAAACCCGTTGCATTTCTACATACTAATAATGAATTATCCAAAAACAAAATCAAGGCAATAGTCCCATTTACAATAGCATTAAAAAGAATAAAATACCTAGAAATTAACTTAACCAAGGAGGTAAAATACTTGTACAGTGAAAACTACAAAAGACAAAAGATTGCTAAAAGAAATCAAAGAACATATAAATAAATAGAAAAACATCCCATGTTCACAGACTAGAAAATTTATAAAGATGTCAATGACGTCCAAAGTGATACACAGATTCAATGCAATCTCTAACAAAACCCCAACCATATTTTCTGTAGAAATAGAAAAGCCCATTCTTAAATTCAAATTGAATCTCAAGGGATCCTTAATAACCAAAATAATCTTGACAAACAACAACCACAAGGGACTCACACTCTGTGGTTTCAAAACTTACTACAAAGCTATGGTAATCAAAACACTGTGGTATTGACATTAAAGACAGACATAAAGACCAATGGAATACAAAAGAGCCCAGAAGTAAACTCTCACATATATGGTCCAATAATTTTTGACAAGAGTGCCAAAACCATTCCATAGAAACAGAACAGTCTTTCCAACAAATGGTACTAGGAAAACCAGATATTCACATTCAAAAGAATGAAACTAAACTCTGGTTTTAAAAAAAAAAGAAAAAAGAAACTAAACTAATACTATACACAAAAATTAACTCCAAATGGGTCAAAGACCTAAATGCAACCACTAAAACTGCAAAACACTTAGAAGAAAACATAAGAAAAAGACATCAAATTTGAAGATGATTTATTTGATATGATACCAAAAGCACAAGCAACAAAAGAAAATGTAAGTTGGACTTCATTAAAATTAAAAACTTTGGTGCATCAAAGGACAAAAAGACAACATAGTGAAAAACCCAAGAATGAGAGAAAATATCTACAAATAGTGTATGTGATAGGAGACTGATAGCCAGATTTATATATAAAGATTTCTACAACTCAACAACAGAAAAGACAACCCAATTTAAAAATGGGCAAAGGACTTGAATAGATATTTCTTAAAAGATATATAGATGACCAGTAAGCAAATGAAAACATGCTCAACATCACTAATCATTACAGAAATACAAAACAAAAACACAATGAGATACCACTTCATACCCATTAATATGGCTATTATCAAAACAATAGAAAACAAGTGTTGACAAGTGTATTTATCCGTTTTCACACTATTATAAAGAACTACTGGAGACTGGGTAATTTATGAAGAAAAGGGATTTCACTGATTCACAGTCCCACAGATTTAACAGGGAGCATGACTGGAAGACCTCAGGAAACTTACAATCACGGCAAAAGGCAAAGGGGAAGCAAGTATATCTTACCGTAGTGGAGCAGGAGAGAGAGAGCATGTGAAGGGGGAAGTGGCACATACTTTCAAACAACCAGATCTCATTATTATGAGAACACTATTATTATGAGAACTCACTATTATGAGAACAGCAATGGGAAAATCTGCCCCCACAATTC